CCTATATACCAACCAAGACTGATCAAATTTCAGTCAAAAATATCAACAACAATATAATCAAAATCATTCTAAATCGAATTTATATAAATTTATTTTGTTTAGTGGATTCGCATTATTATTGAATTGAGTTAACAAAACATATTTATCGCAAAATATTACGGAATGGAAACTTTGTAAATGTGAGTATTTCAAATAACAAGGGTTATCAACGAGATATTGTTCATAAATTCAATCTTTGAAAACAATCATCTTGAACAGAAAATGTAAAAATTTTATATTACATATTAGTTGTAAAATAATGTAATTTATAGGAGTTACACAAGTTTGGAAAAATAAATGAGCATAAATTACATAATGAACTAACATGGATCCTTTTTTATTATCCAACTAGACACTCAATCAGCTAAGATTTCATGAAAAATAAAATGAATTCTTCTATTTTAACTAGTTCATACAAAATTGTGAGTAAAGACATAGAAACTCATATTATATTGTCCAAATACAGATTTTCATTTTAATTAGTTGCCAGATTAATTAAGAACTATTACTGAACGTAGCCTGTGATTTGAACCATATTCTAATAATTTTATTTTTAGACCTAAAACTATTTTTTTTAGATCACACAATATTGAGTTACGTAATTAAGTGGCATACATATCTATAATAAATATATATTATTTCAGTGCAGGTGGTATGAGTTATTGATAAATAACAGTGAATTTCTTTAATGGTTAGATGTAATAAGCTGAAAATTGGTAAGATGACTAATTTGGAATGGATCTTAGACGATATAATATACAGTAAACTTTAGAAAAATGAAAGGAAGCAATGATGATTGGAGGTGGCCAACAGGAAACCCTGGACCCGGGTTTCGTGCTACTTGGCACTCGTCATCAAGGTGTACCTGTAATCTTGAGGGAACTGGTGCTCCCATCTTCAGTCAGAGACGTTACCACTGGGCTATCCGGGCTGTGACCAACATCCTGTAGGACTGAGATGTAATCACATTTGATTGGTCCCTGGGTGGTGATCAATGTCATGTGTGTCAAGTCCTTCTTAGTGCAGACCGAATGCTATCGACCAATGTTGAGTCACCTAGACTAGTGGCCACATTGCAACTTGGTTGATAGCATTCGATGTGCACTAAGAAGGACTTGACACACATAACATTTATCACCACCTAGTGATCAATCAAATATGAAAGGAAGCAATACTATATTGTAATAATAATAATAATAATAATAATAATAATAATAATAATAATAATAATAATGATAATAGAGATGTATTTAAGTAGTATGTTAACAACCATTTCTTCTGATATACGACAGAATGTATAGTTTACACAAATAAAATCATATGGCTGGGTTATTTCTAGTGCATTATTCTATATGATTAAAAATATTAATACCTTAATATACACGAAGTTACTTTGAAAGTTTAGTAGAAGTGAACAACTTGAACTTATGTGTATGATAATGAAAGATTATCCGTAACTCTTAATTGAGTTTCATTTTTTTCGAATTTACATGAAGAATAATTATCTACAAACATAATTTCAAATTAATTTATTAGTGAATTAAGAGTTCACAGGATTTTGTCTTGTCACATCAATATTAGTTACTGTTATTATTAATGAATTCTTTTTAAAAATCGTTATTAGCATATGATTTGGTAATCGGTTGGAAACACTAAACATAATTTTAATGATAGTTAACATTTTTTGTGCGTTCTGAAAAATTTATACCCTACACTTTTCAGGTTTATTTTACCAAGCATAGAAGCCAGAAATCTTACATTTGGGATACGTACCATTAGATTGACAAGATTTAAGAATAAGTGCACGAATTTTGTTAGTTATATTATGAAGTGACTTTAGTTAGAATACCATCGAAAACCAATGAGCTATTTGTTCTAGTACTAGACTCCTCCGGATTATGTACTGACAAATTCATATGTAATAAAATCTGAGAGCTTCAACGTGGGGTTACTTTTACATAAATGGATTTGGAATACTAGTTCTTATTACTGAGTTTAGTTAATATGAAAAATTGATAGACCATCTTCGATTAGCACCAGTAAAATTTTTTTCACTTCCAGTATGAATGAACTCCATTGGTTATAGTTTATCATAGCTTTGGGAATACTTCTAGGGTGTGGTCGATTATTAACACAAACTGACTAAATCTGGAAATATAAACCACTCAATGTCAATTCACTGGTCTAAAGGTGACTCACTCATTGCTAGCCCTAAAATTTAAGTTCGATATCTGGAAGAACCCTAAGCTAGCCAACTAATGCTCCTTGATTTTTAGTCTAGTTAAATCAGATCGTAATGTCAATTACAAACCAAATAATCTTAAAATCTTCATCTGCTAGCATTAATTTTCACAAATGTCGAATCTATGATATTAATAATGTTTTCTTGATCAAAATAGTGATGTGGTTAATAATCTCAGTAGAAGCTATTCAATCTAGTAATGAACCTGAGTAACACCGGTCCTGGTCTGTGATGAAAGGAGTATCCACGAGGTTACAAGCATGGCTTGATAAAAACATAATGATAATGTTCAAAAGACTTCCTAACGATTTCATTCAACTGACAAACAAGAATTATGATGAAATGTAACATTGAGTCACTTAACCTAATGGTCATACTATAAACTTCTTTATTGAAATTAAAGTCACACTTTTAGACTAGATAGGTTACTGTTGTGTTCAATTACCTTTATACTTGTCATATAAAACCAGTCTCATTTGTACTATTACATTTAGGCCTAGATTTGTTGAAAAATAATCTGTATTCATTTAGTACTTAACGTTAAATTTACTATTTTTAAATTTAGAAAATGTATGTTCAAGGATGGGTTTTGTGACGAGTTTAATAAAACTCATTATTCGAGCTTGAAAATACTGACCTATTAAGACAACATTGTCATTCATAAACAAATAAAGTCTCTCCATGTGTAAAATAAGGTCCTATTTTACACAACAAAAGAGAATGAATAAATTTATTCATTGGAATAATTGGTTACCACAGTAACGATCTCCTAGGTTATGAACGGGTTAGACACAAGGAGTACCTGCGAACACGTGTAAACTAGTGAAGTCCAGAGGTTAAGAATAATGCTTATCTTTTCACAGGCAAATTCGAAATACTTATGATGATTAAAAAAGAACAAGTTGTGACGATCAATACATAGATCAAACGACTAATTACTTGGATCTACCATACTTAAATATGTCGGCTTAACATTACATGGCTGCTAGATGAAATTGGGTCTATATCTCCAGTGAATAAAATTCCCATGATTAACTCAAACTTAGAAACAGACATTTTATTCGGATGGAATACATTTTAGTCAACATGACTTGGGTGTTTATGCATTGTGAAATTAGTTTTCAAAAAGTCAGCAACAAACCTGTCTGTTTGAGGCTAGTGTATTGTTCAGCAGTTCTATAACTGTTGCACATTGTTACTGAATGTGAACAATATTAACGTTTCCATTATAACCTAGCCGATCTCCCAGCTATTCAACGAGAAACTAAAGCACATTTGAGAAGCGCTACAGATGAGTGCCATTATTACATAGAGCCGCCTTCTGCAGGCTTTGTTGCTATGGTTCAAAATAAATAAATGCGGATTCCCCATTCTTGGCACCCAATTGTACAATTCAGCTCAAATTCTAGAATCCCAAGCGAACATTGCGATGCTCTACCAGCTTTGTGAAGAGGTCTGACATTTTTCTTTAACCTTATCGGACGGAAACCAACCACCCACTTCAGCAGTTTGACAAATACCACCAATCCTTGCATCTACAGCTTGATTATGATTTGAAATCACACAACACCCGTACCCTTCCTTATCACCAAGACTTCTTAACCTGCAATGAGATTTTTGTTACAAGTACAGAGCCCACCGTGTATCAAATAAACACAAATGAAGACAATATCCGACCATCTGTTGCCTCGTAATCACGAGTTTATAACCCTCCACTCTAGATTTCTGGACCAAATTATGGTTGTCTCGCTGAAGTCTTCTTCAGTAAGGACTAAATTGAACTTCACAACTCAGTTATCATATTAAGTACAGTAATCTACAAAACTGATGAAAACACCGGGCAGATGCATAAATTACAGCGACAAGACAGTCATGTGCATGGTAACACAACAAAACCAGTCACTTAGAAGTTAAATTCGGTCATGGGTTGGACGACTTATTTCAACCGAAGAAAAATTACTACGAACACCATTGGGTTGGCGAGAGCTCCCTTGTAATGTCAACTATTTACAACCCAGATGGCCTTGTAAGATTTTAAAACTCAACTATAGGAACTTTTGTCAATCAGCTTAGCTTGTATCCTTAAACAACTAGATCCACTTGGGAACCAAATAAAGATAACTGGAACAGCAATTGCAACACACAAATTTATGTAATGAAAATTAAAAAACAATGCAAAGTAATGTAGGTGATACACATTATAAGTAAATGGTAATAAAAAAGACTACAAAAAACCAACAAGCAAAAACATACATAATTGTTTCCATTATTGAAAACGAAATACAATAGAGTAAATAAATCCAAAATCTTGTACTCTATCAGATTAGAAAGTAATGCTGCTTGCCAGAAATAATAAAAACACACAATGACTATAAAAAGAAAGGCACAAGTGCGAAATAATTGTGTAGTACGATAAAGATAAGTAACATAAGATAAAAACAAAACAAATGCGACTGTGTCCACCTTGCTTAAAGCAAGGCGTTACACACAAATTAACTAAATCAATTTGCGAAAATAAACTAGAGGAACGGAATGGTTAATTTATATGAAATGATGCTCATTTAATGAAAAAATAGGCCAAGTTTACAGAGAAAGATGAAACATAAAATAGATGAAGTGAGGTAGGGAGACATGTTAACCATCAAGAGAATTCAATCACTGGTAAATAGATGCGCTAACAAATTTGCACGACTGACACGCATTGATCTCTGTTGATTTATTATTTGTTTATTTGATGTCGTACTTTCTTTCTCATATGGGTGTTATAGTCCTCGAATCTTATACCATAACAGCGCGTTAAACAGATTACTATGAGTGGAAATTAAGACAAAATGACGAAACAAATTACAAACTAATGAAGAGTAAACAAAACAAATATTTATAAGACAATAAAGACTAAAATAAACAAATAAGTGGATCAGCATTCAAAGACTATAATAACCACCACATGAAAAAGGAAATACGAAATCCAATAAACAAGTAATAGATCAAGGGTGATCAATGCTTGTCCGTGTTGCAGGCGTCTAAAAATTTCAATTCCAATAAGAAAAATCCAAACAAACAAAAGCAGTCAAAAATAATTAAGTATATGGTATTCAAGATAACCTAAGCCTAGAAAACAGAAAAACATATAAAACTGTTTATAGTCAAAATATAGAAGTAAAAATAAAACATGGTTAACGTTGATTAATCTGAAGTTTGTTATTCACGTAGCCCACCTTCTTCACCATCAGCCTCAGATGAGGCCAGGAGTTTGGAGAAATTCATTAGGTCGTGTGGATTTAAAGAACCAGTGCATTCAGAACTATTTTCGACATCCAGTCCATTGCAGACTGACATTTGGTGATCAGCAGCATCAGACCTGGAGACTGCAGTTCTGCTCAAAATAGCACACACAGACCGCGGTGTGTTTGGTGTCGGAGTCCCAACTCTGCCTTCTTCGTGTTCAGCCCCTGATGTGTAATGAGTCATTGTTGAAGATTTAGGTATATCTTGGCATGTCGAACGAGGTGACAAATGAGTGATGTACGAACTTGACAAAGGTGGTAAAACAGATGCAGCAATTTGTTCTGGAGCGAATGAAGACATTTGGTTTTCCCAGTCAATCAACTGACGAAAAGAGACATTCCGTCCACCGCCGATAATTATGAGAACATTGGAGGGACGAGGTAGACGACCCTCTAGTTGTAAGCGTGATAGGTAGCCTGAATATACAGTCGAAAGTGCTGCTCCACAAGCTGGATCAACAAGCATTCCATGGTCATCTGAAAGGTATAGAAAACCTTCATATTAGTGAGATATGACAAGGCAGAATTCTGATGGAAGAAAATACAGAAGGCTTGAAACTGTGCCTTAGAGTACGCGATGAGAACTATGGGTTTACGCTATCCATTATCGAAGACAATTACGACAATGTCTATCTGGATGTGGTCGACTAGAAACTTACACAAATAAATCGAATTTGTTACTTGCGACATACTGCTAGTTCCCAATTGATCTTAATTGACATGGTTAAACCTTGTATCATGTCCTTATACATATTAATAACACTGAAGTAACTGTTTCTATCAACTTGATGCTTATCTATCTTGTTGTGCTGATGAGATATGGCAACCTGGACCGATGCTTATATGTGCCTGGCCCTACGTTGAAGCTGACTCAACATGGTTGAAATATGTTAGTCTTATGAAATGTAAGGCAACACAAATTGATTTTCGAATGACTAAGACAACCAATGCTCTTAATCAGAACTTGTTAAAGTGTACATTCCCAACACTGACAGACACTTGAAATATTTGGCTACTCAAGTCTAGTCTAGCCTAGTTTGTTTGACTGACTTCAGAGTGGTAACTTGATCATCGACAGGAATAAGGTCATCGTCTATATAAAAAATTCGGGACGGGTACAGAAATAATTTGTGAAGCTACTGAAACAAAATCTTACCCAAAAAACGTTTAACTCCATCAACTGCCTCTCCGTCAGTACAGGTCACTGCACTAATCGAATGGCATTGAGCCAAACTCCAAGCACGCTGTGCCAAGACTGGGGCACTGAGAGAAGTTGCAATCGTTGAGCTTCGTGGGATAACTGCTAACTGACCAGACTTCAATGAACGATTTAAGCAATCTGCTCCCTCTGTCTCCACAGTTACGACATGTGTTGAAGACCATCCTCTATTCCACAGACCCTAAACATGTAGAAATACCTCATGAAAATCTTTGAAGCCCTGGATGAAACTTATTTATGGAATAAAAGGTTTATAAAAAGGCATCACCTTCAAGGTATATTAAGGTTATATTTTTAGTCGTTCAGCGTACTTGCATTATGCAATTCATTGTTAAATGTACTGACTAAATGTGAAGCCTGAATATACAAATTTTTGTTGTATCAACATATAGAACTGGGTTAACATCGTGAGTAAAGATAGCATGAAAAATGCTACAGATAGTTACAAACATTTTTGTAGGAGTCAAGAGGATATATGATTTGGCTTACAGTCAGTGGACCATACATCTAAGGCATCTTATATTTACTTTGATTCAGTTAGTATTGCTAGCCATTGGAGTATTAAGTTGTAAAAGAAATACGAAATTTAAGATCGAGGAAGTTTCAAAATGTGATGATACTCACTTGTATGACGCCTGCAAGCAACCCTCCACCACCGACGGCGACAACTATAGCATCTGGTTGACCGATCTCTGGAGTGACTTCGTCGACAATAGTTTCGTATCCTTCCCATAGTTCAGGTTGATCATAAGGATGAAGAAGTCGGATAGTGGGGTCACTGTGTCCGGATTGTAGGTCGTTTACTAATTGCTCAGCGCGGTGATGGGCCTCCAAGAAGCTCGAACCACCAATAACGATCTTGGCTTCCTGTGCCTCTAATGATAAGCGCCGTCTAATAGTTTGCTCAAGAGCCTCAGGGACTACTAATGTACAGTTCATTCTGTAAGTGTGAGCTGCAAAAGATACAGCTATGCCTGCATTCCCAGTAGTTGGACAGACAATATGAGTCACTCCCGCGGCTGCCCACTAAAATCAACAAATGAAAACCGAATGAGTTGGGTAAACAAAGTTTGATAAATTGTTTTGTCGTGATGTTTATTTTTTTGTTGATTGACGCAAACAACCAATTTCTAGCGATAGCCATTATATTTAAATAACTGTGAAAGGGTTAGTAATGCGAAATGGCGCTTATTTTCAAATATGTCCAAAACATACTCGTAATGATCCACTTGGAGCATTTTCGGTCATCCACGCTATTACTGAGGACTGATGTTAGTGTTTCTTGGGGCTTTTTATTTACTTTTGCCCCCAAATGCCCTGGTATGGCCGAGAGCGGGGAGGGTTCGCCCTCCCTCTCGAAATACTCTCACACGGCCACGCGTATACAGCCTCTGCCAGGGAAGTCCTACACACTGCCTTCTCGTGGCGGGGGTGTTGTTTACAAAAATGAGAGGACGAAAAGCGAATGTCCGGCGCTATAACCGGATCCCAATTCTATGGTGCACATGGGCTCCAGTATCCTGAAGGAACAAATGGCGTATGAACCAACTTTTGGTCACCGGCTTCCATGGGACTGCATCTCCTCACGATGCTCCACTGCCTTGTGGACTAGACCTTTAGGTCAAAGGCTCGGGGTGTGGCCCCCTAAGAAAACCACCTGCTTCGGTCTGGGCACCCGGGCAGTATCTCAGCCCACACACTAAAACTATGATGAGTGTGGCGCATATATATTTGGTGCCCCCCTGTACCAATATTTATGTGTTCAAATAAAAATCATAAAATAAAATTTTATTTACTCGACTGACGTGACAACGAATTAATTTGTGTACATTCCACTAGACTAACTAAGCATTTTAATTAAACTGGATTGATCTATTTTAGAAGTTAACTTGTTTTACTGATAATAGAAACCAGAATCTTAGGCTTCCTGAATAAGTAACAATAAACAACTTGATAAAATACAAGGAATCTGACAGCGAAGTAACAATTGAATTCGATGCCCTCAGTTTTCATTCTACTATTCAGCAGCACTTTATGACTTAAAAATAACAATAGAATCTTAAGTATAATCGCTTAAATCCTATAATTAAAAGGATGTGGCTCCTCAGACTTAAGTAAAGTGCTATTTTAAAACAAATAACACAGTAACTACATGTTAAACGAAATCTTAGGTGCGCTTAAATAGGGTAGATACACTAGACGGATGTGTTGAATCAATGTAAAAAGGAATTTAACATTAATTAGTTATTGAATCAGTCATTTGCAACATAAAACCTGGAGCAGTCCTGAAGAAATATTTTATTTGAAGTAGGAAACCACCTCAAACAAGCTTATATTATCGCTCAACACGATCAAAGGACTTTGCATCTTTTCGGTTTTTATTTGACGGGACTGCGTTATCTATGTATTCTATATTAATGGGTTATGATACTTATGATTGCCACGAGAAGTCTCGGGTGGGGACTGCAATCAACGGGTCCTCACATGGATTGACAAAAATACAAAATATTTAACTCAGATAAATGAAGCACTGAATAACTTACCTTGCGAACCACATTTTCAACACCACGAATTTTGAATGATCCAGTCGGTTGAATATTTTCTAGTTTGAGCCATACGTTTATCTGACAACCCCGCTGTGTTAATAAACTCGACAACACAGGACTTGGTATCAAAGGACTTTTAACAGACAAACGCGCGCATACTCCAGCTGTCAAAGCACTCGGATTTATTTCGTCCGAACGTCCAGTTTCTGGAAGTGAATTAATTACAGACCGCTGTTGGGAAAACAACCATGGAGAATGACTCGTTGTGTTCGTCAAATTCCTGAGAGAATGTTCCAATTTTGGCTGGTCATTGTCGACAGTTCGTTGGGAGTTAAGTGTGTTTATTATCGAGATCTCTCGGGATGAACAGCGATCAACCCCAGCAACAAAACCTGGTGAGTTTGCACTATGGTGACCGTCAAGGAAATCCAAGACATCCAACGAACTGGTTTGTGAGAGGACGTCGCGGTTGAAGATTGATGTTAGGTTGTGATCAGTGACTACGAAAATAATATGGAGTTTTACGCAGAAGGAACTATGATTAGTTCTGAATTTTAACTGATATAATTATTTGTACAGGTGTGAATTATGACAAAAAAACTTGAAGTGCTAGATCCGCTCGATTCTGGGCCATGTTACTCAGTCTTTAGCTGTAAAGACAAACTGCTACGCAGTATACTCGTACTCTAATTGATAGACGGAAATCTCACAAGTTGGCAAGGCCAAACGAGCGTTTTGAAACCGGGCAGAGATCTCTTCAGACACTAACCCATATTCGATGTTCAGGATTCCAAGATAAGTGAAGTTATCGACGCGTTCGACTTCAATCCTTATACTTAAATCAGGTGTGGACGCAAACCAGTCCTCAATTTGCATCTAGAAGAGGGGAAACGAATTCCTGGCATTGTTGATGTTACCATAAGACTGTATTTTATCAACGTCTACACCAAACAGGTCTGTCACCTGTTTTTTAAGTTGGCAAGTCAACCTACCTGATGAAGATCAATACCTAAAAATCCAGTCGGTTAGAACGTTCTTTCCAGAAGTAGGTCTTCGATGAAACTGAATATAAATGGAGATAGTGCAGTCTTGCCGGACATCACTTGACTTCGCAAAATCAGGTGACAGCCCGCAATAAGCTCTAATTCGACTGATAATTTTCGAGTAAATAGCCTTCATATAGATTATGTACACCGGAGATACACTTCAATAGTAGACACTGCCACAGAACTTCTGGGTCTACGGAGTCAAATTCTGCTTTTAAGAAAAACCATCATCGTCGGACGATTATAAGCATACACAACAGGGGAAATTTGTACGAGTCAGGACTAGTCAACAACTTTGCGGGAACGTTTAGTGCGAGTCACTAAACTTTTAAAATTGGTAGTGAAACAAACAGAACAAGAAGTAATCTTACCTTTGTTTCGCATGATTGGTCGAGGAGGGATGCCGAACTGAGGGTTTGATGGTAACTGGAGGGAACCGCTAGACTCTACTGCTACGTTTAGAGTGACTTCAGAGTTTTTTGTTTCTGTCATATACTGACTTTGTGAATTTCCATGCACAGCGCAGCCTAGCGTGTTTAGCGTCCGTCTATTCAGCACATTTGTAAGTATATTTGATTCGGTCAAAGGATCCGTGTTACTGTTGTTGTTAGTTGTACGATTAAGTGGGAGTGGCGACTGACGCGAAGAAAAGTAAAACAGCCCATAGGTTTCTCTCGTTACAGAACCAATTAATCTCAATCTAAGCGGTGACGTCCATTCCGGAGCCTGGTAACCATTTAAGCGCAAAACAGAAAGCTCAGCACTACGAAATGAAATAAATACACAAACCTACTTATTTTTCTCCTGAAAAATGACAGATGCACTTGAAGTGAACTTGCTGTCTGCTGATTCTGAACTCATATCACTTGAAGCCCCGTTCAGAGCGGGACTGAGACGAGGCTTTTGACCTGGTGGTGAATCGGGAAATTGAGGAGCTAATAATCTAATAACCACAACGGCCCCGAAATTAGAAAAAAGACGCTGATATCATAAATCAATCTGCAAAGTCAACCTACGAGTAAATCCGGTTCAGTCCACTCTACAGGTATCCCAGTTACTATGATCTCCCATCCAATTATATTTTCATTTGTGACTTCAGAGTTCAATGAGCCTGGGAAATTAGTTCCATTGGAAAACGTTTGGAGACGATGTCCTGTGACGTTATTTATGATAATGAAATTTACCTGGTGTGAACCGACGACCACCTGAACTGGCGTACGCCACACGCAGTCGTTTCTGCTCCGTCTCGTAACCGTGATAGGTTTGTATTGCTAAAGCTGCGTGCTGAGGGTTCACGAAATCTACGAACCCGTAACACAAACTAGCACCAGTGTTCTATGCATAATAATGAAAAGCAGATACACTTACCTTGTCTCTAATAAGCTTACACTGCCTAATAGGTCCCACTCGCTCGAAGAGACGCTGGAGATCGTTTTGGTCGTAGCTCTGAGGAAGGTAGTTTATAATCAAATTGGTGCGTGAGCGATCCTCATTACAAAGGGTGTTACTATTTCCATTCTGATTATTATTCCCCAAATTTAAACCAAGAAATTTGAGTCGAGACATAGTATCAATGCTGTTAACGTTTGGTCCGTTTATATTCAAGACTGGACCAGTGACAGAGTTACTAATTGAGTCTTGGAAAGGAAGTGAAGGGAAAACATCCGAAAGATTGCTGCCCATGCATCCATTTACGTGCATATTTACTGTCCTTACAACCTAGCAAGGCGAGGTCAGCACGCAGCACCAGGTCAAATTCAAAATTCTGCGTTGACGCTGAAACTTATGAACTTAAAGAAAGATGAACCTGATGCAGTAAAACCCTTGGTCAAACGGATACAGTTGTTTCACTATGAAACAAGATTTGAAAGTCACTTTTGTTCACGATTGGCAGTGTTATATTTTTAAAGAGAATAATAGAACACCAACTCCATTTCAAACATGATAAATAATCTAGGCAGATGAACGTGCTGTAGAAGGCAACATAGGTGTCTTGTGTCTCAAATTATCTGAATCCTTTGGTTGAGATGATTAAATATCATCATCCTCGTGGTTACTTTTGTTTATCGACCTAGTTTTTTGCGTATTTTCATATAGACTATTCGTAATTAAAATCAAATATTATTTATCCAAAATCACTCAGTTCAGTAATAAACCTATAAGCGACCCATCAGTAATGCTCCTTAGGGATTTGTGTCGCAATTTTCCTTCTTTTAGATTTAACTAGGTTGGAGTCGAACATCAGGAAGGCTAGCCTCGGTAGACAGCCTAGCAGCCTAGTATATCTTTGTTCGATCATTCAACCATTTCGATTTACATTGTCTTCCGGATCAGTGATCTACTGGATTAATGATTTGTGGCAATTCCAAAAGCTTTCCATCCGCCTCCTCAGATACTGGTATATCAAATCTCAATAAGTTTAGAGATTCATGTTTACTTTGTCTGTTATTATCTTTTGGGTTAATATATTGTCTGGTCCACCACAACTTTCATAACGACCCTGTCAGCGATCGACTTCTGAAGGTATAGAACGATAATTCAAGCCACCTCCATTGAGTCATGAACTGTATTACTAAGTAAATACTGTGTTTTGATAGAATCTCAAGTAAATCATGCACATCAACCACTATTAACCCGGATTTATAGCATTTGCAGCACTTCAGAGAAAGGTCTCCGGAGGTGTTAGCACGATGGTTATTTAATTACTTTTGTAGCCGTAAGTAAATCCTCAAAATCAATGGCTGTGTAAGTCTTTAACATTTGATGCTGACCTCATTAGTTTTATTGGACTCACCTAGCTAAAGGCTCTCAGTCTCGTATCTGCACCAGATCACCAGTAGGTAAGCCGTGCTATGCATTCCTTTCAACCTTTAGCCAGCTTAGACCAAACGTTCCTCGACATATCAATAGCCTTCCAAATATATCTTTGAACTCCATTTCTGACTTGTGATTTGACGGGGTTGATATACTTCGATTACGATGGTGTTACTTGCAAGAGCATTGTCAAACTCGGAATAACGGCAGCATCTTTAAAAAGATACACATGTAGAATTATGGTCTGCTATGATATTAGTACTGCTCTAATAATAGACCTAATCCTTAAATTGTAGATTTGCCATGATGTAACTGCCTAATCTATAAGATCTTACGTGGAAGTGACATTATTATCTATACCACCTCATCGCATCGTAACAATTACCAATACATGATGGAGAAAAAGCTTAGGCTAGAGACAGAACAATATATTTAATATGAATAAAAGTTATGGGGTAACATTCAGCAGGGACCACGCCTGCACGGCCGAGTCATGCTATCCAATCAGCTAGAATTCATTCAATTCATTGTTCCCGCCTTATCCATCGGGTTTTTCTCCGAGCTAAATGTTGAATATTTATTTCCCATATTGTCTCGTGTTAGGGCCCAATGCCACTACACACACATGTAAGAATATTGAAAATTAATTTTTCGAGTTACGAATGCAGCCAATAGCTATAAATTACGAGAAATGATAGTAAATGAACAAATTGTTAGGACGTTCTTCAGACAGTTAGCATTAAGGTGTTCTGGGAACCTATCAGTTTTTGTAGAACGTGTAAGTTTAAGACTGGTATTAGATGTCGGCTAAGCTCTAACGTGATCATTGACCATCATAGGTTGCGTGTCAGTTATCGAGACTGACGTTCGGGTTTACGATGTGAAGGTAGATAGAAACAATGTAGGATCCTTTTAAAAAACTTAGATGAATATATAAGAAAATTTCTACACGAAGACACTCTTGTAATGTAACTTGTAATTTCGCATTTAAATGTGAAGTTAGTCTTCGTGATCCCTTCAGGTGATATTTTCATCCCAGACAAGACGTGTAATGTTTATATCTTTATTTGAATTTTTCACGTTTCTGATGAACTTCTATGTTTCTTACAAACCGCATTAACACTGTTTTGCGTTGCAATTGGGTTATGATGGCTGCCATTTTGTCGTTTTCCTCCTTATCATTACATTGCGCTAACTTACTGTAGTTATGGGTTATTTCGTCGTGAAGTGAAACACAATTCCAGAACTAGAATCACTCAGTGTTGTGACATGTAATTAAGGTCACAGTTCCCAGCACTCTTTTTATTGATGTTTTGTAGAGCTAAATATCATCTTTTGAACAATCTTCACGATCTGTCCAAAAGAGAGGTAATAATATTTTTGCATTAGTAGAAACGTTTGTGTTTTGGAAATGTAGCTATTTTATTTTGATTATCAATCTATTCACTTGATGTTATTTGGATTTTACTGAGTTTGTTGATCGGTTGTTGGTGGAATGACTATTTAGCAATGTTTGTTTGGAAAACTGTACATTTGAATTTATAACTAAATAGAATCTTTCCTAACTCAGCCACTTGGCTTGGAATTTTGACTGAGCAAACACACTGGTGTCAGAACTAACTTCTGCGGTTATTACTAATTCAAAACCGCTTTATTTTGTAACTAACAATAGGGTTGCCTTTCAAGTAAGTGGCATCCAGCCGATCGATGCTAACGTTTCCCTTGTCGACTGTGTCGTACTTGAGTTTACAAAGAAGAACTTGATTGGTAGTGTCAAGAGCTCATCTTAATGAGTCAGGATGTATATAAACATGTGTATTTAACAATAAGGTGTGTCCGGTAGAAACCTTGGTTGATAAGGTTCGAGTGAGGGTAGATCTTTCGTGCCTTTGGGTAGCCCTCGTGCTATTGACAGAAGAAACCAGACTAGTAGTGAGTAGGTCTTTATTTAGATCTTCGCGCAGTCACAGTGGAGCGTGTTATTACCTGTTCAGACAAACAAACCCTCCCAACATTCAATATAAGATAATAGTAAATACAACGCCTATGCAAAATAAGAAAGTGAATGAATACTTGAATTCTACGGTTTGCTGCGTTTGTTAGGTCCTCCTTACGACCAGCCACTCCATATGTTATGCATTTACGGTTACTGAATGGGCCAGACAAGGAAAAATGCCTTTTATGCTCGGCTTCTCTAATTTTTAGAAGAAGAATTCCCACTTTTGTAGAGTCACTGTGATGAGAAAAATCGACGTGGAGAATGTCTTCGTATCGCTTGGACCATGATTCAAATGTGACACCTGCATCAGGATCACATTGAAACTCCGCGATCGACTTGATCAATAATTTGGTAGTTCAGCCTTCTAATTTGAACACCTGTACCGAATTTTCTTGAATTGACAGGTTTTTGTCATCATCATTAGCTACGGTTTCTTTTAAAGTATACGGACTGGGAGTTTCCCGGAATATTTGCCACAGTAGTAGGTTTGTGGTTGAAGTGACTTCAGCGTTTTGTTTAAGGGCGGCTCGCCATTGGTGTCGTGGCACAGACTAATTAGCTTTATCCGTTTCTCGTGACCCGCAGAAAAATTTGTGTGGTGAGCGTTGTTTCGCAGAGATCCACAATTTCCCTTTGAGTGAACAGACGCCCTTCTTTGACAGAACAGATCTCGATGTTGGGGTTTCTAATGATATGCAGAAACAAGCCGGCAAATGGAGCTAATTTATCGCCGGGATTGTTTTGGGACGAAACTATAATTGCTCGCACCTTTAGAGGGTACCTAAGTAAAGGCACTGTTTGAAATATCCTTCGTCAAAAGCTTACCGGCCAATGACTACTAGCATTCACAGCAACATTTCTGCTCCCAAGTCACACCCTAATTCGACGTTGTGGGAAAGTTTACCTAGCTTTCACCAATCAGTTAGGCTTCGGATCTAAGAAATGATTTTTACAAAGTTTTGTAGATTTCGGAAACATCTCAAGGTGCATTCAATATCGTAAGGAATTGTACACATGATCTTGGCAGTCCTTATATAGCAAAACCAAACTCGATGCTATCACGCCAAAGCTGAACGAATTCTAGAATGAGAAACAGATGAATCCTAATCCCTATAACTTTTGATGTTCATCTTGTTTGTACACCATCCTAGAAGGGTTCCTAAACAGTAACGGAATAAATCCAATGAGGCATGCCGACTCTTCCTTCTAGTGGTCATCAACCAGAACGTTCTGTAAAAACACGTTGCGTCGATCCAACAGACAAACCCTTACAAAGTGAGACTGGGTCTTCACTGGAAAGCAAACGGCAATGTTCACTGCTAGTAAAACTGTCTATTATCCCGAAGACATCAAAGAAATGCAGTTTTTCACAACTCTTCTATCTGAAGTCTCTCCTTACGAAATAATCTAAAAGCCAATCAAACGAGAAGCCGAGGATGAAGAAATTTAACGATATATTTAAATAACGGTTGCTGTATCATATTAAATGCAATTCAAACTGATTGGTTATCGTTAAATACACAGCACGACGTACTCGAATGTTATTTGGTGCGAATACTTCACCGAGAGTCTTTGATTAAGAGTGTGTTCAGTAAAACCGATAAGGAAAGGGCCGACTCCGAAAACATACGAAGTTTCCATCTTGAGGGATAATTTACCTTCACAACCATTAATACTAAAGAATGAGGACTGATCTGTTAGAGTTTTCATTTACTAAGTTACCTACCTTGAGGTACTGATGATTCATTTTTGTTAGATGTCGAAGGTTTTTATTACAGGCACCTCTTCTGTTTCATCTGAAATAAATTAGATACCACAGGTATTCGGAGTTTGAAAACGCTTTAACCAGTAACACCTAGTAAGAATCGTACCCACCAAGTGAAATCAA